TGTCTGTCTGTCTGTCTGTCTGTCTGTCTGTCTGTCTGTCTGTCTGTCTGTCTGTGACTGATCATCGCTCTTTTTAGGAGAATTATCTGTGAATAAAAGGAGTTTTGTGTTCAGCCCTGAGTTTTGTCTGCAGGCGTTCTAACAATAACCTCCATCAGAAAGTAGGGCAGCTTGTTCTCTGGTAGCCTGAGAGGCAAAATCCAGGGAAATGAAACCCATGAACATAATAAACCGTTCAACACGATTTATATCAGGTCACCTTGTCCGATATACTTTAATCAAACCATTAATCAGATTAATCAATAATCACCATTTATAATTATTATTATTATTATTATTATTATTATTATTATTATTATTTTATTATTATTATTATTTTATTATTATGAACTAATGAACTGATTTTATAAACTGTCACAGTTCAGTTCTACAGGAATCAGTGGATCTACATAAACGTTACGCTGTTGTTTGTGTTGTTTGTGTTGTTTGTGTTGTTGTTGTTGTTTGTTCTCCAGACTGACCTTCATGCCGAAGGTCTCGGTCTCCAGTTTGGACAGGTGGTTGGAGTTGTCCTCCAGCTCCCTCCTCAGGTGGGAGTTCTCCTTGCGGAGCGCCTCCACCTGGTGGGCCAGCTGGTCATAGGAAGCCACGGCGTTGGCCATCTTTACAGTCTGCAGCACCTCCTGCAGGAAGACGGAGGAGCATCAACCCACACTGCTTTATACTCGCTATAGTTACATCCAAATAAAATCCAACATTAATATTAATACGATTGATTCAGTTCATAAAACTACAAATAGGTAACACAACAAAAGAAGCTAAAGGATGTTGTTTATCTGGTGCGACCACAACTCATCTGTATATATAGAAGGTTTACCTCACACAGTTAGCACTCTGCCTAACTACCTTAAAGTAATGTATGGACACTCTCAAGTCAGAATAACAGGGGTTCTTCCCGTTCTTCCCATTCTGCTGACTTTGCCTGACGCAATGCAAGATAACAACAATATACAGTCACATCTGAAAGAAGCTAATGTTAGCAAAAAACTAGCTAATCTACATCATTTATTAGGCAGGAGAAAGTAGAGATGGTGGACACCTACAAGTTCCTGGGGGTGACACTCAACAATAAACTGGACTGGACGGACCACGCTGAGGCCCTCTACAGGAAAGGACAGAGCAGGCTGTTCTTTCTGAGGCTCAGGTCATTCAACATGTGCACTCGACTACTACAGATGTTCTACCAGTCTGTAGTGGCCAGTGTCCTCTTCTTTGCTGTGGTTTATTGGGGGGAGGCATCGGCACTGGGGGTGCCAACAAGCTGAGCAAGCTGGTGAGGAAGGCCAGCTCTGTGGTGTGGACGGAGCTGGACTGTGTGGAGGCTGTGACTGAAAAGAGGATGAGAGGGAAGCTGAAATCCATCATGGACAACCCCTCTCATCCTCTCTACACTGAGCTCAGGCAGCTCATGAGCTTTCAGCCACAGACTGACCCAGCCCCGACCCTCAAAGCAATTTAGAAGCTTGTTTGTACCATCAGCCATCAGACTCCACAACCACAGTACCCAGTACCTCCAACCTCCTCAACCACAGCACCCAGTAACTCCAACCTCCTCAACCACAGCACCCAGTACCTCCAACCTCCACAACAACAGCACCCAGTAACTCCAACCTCCACAACAACAGCACTCAGCAGCACATGCTCACAGGCAGTCTGATCATCTGTCACTTCAGTTCAGTTCGATGTGTTTTTGTCTGTTAGGTAACGTGTTATCTAAGTTTGTCCTGCGGCTGTTTCCAGCTGCACTCAGCTGATCCTGAATCAGTCGACCTTTACATTCAGTGCATTCATGTTTCTGTTCGTCCAACAGTTTAAACTCCACAGTAGCCTGACACCAGTCTAACACCAGTCCAACACCAGTCTAACAGCAGTCTAACACCAGTATAACACCAGTCTAACACCAGTCTGACACCAGTCTGACACCAGTCTAACACCAGTCTAACACCAGTCTAACAGCAGTCTAACACCAGTCTAACACCAGTCTAACACCAGTATAACACCAGTCTAACACCAGTCTAACAGCAGTCCAACACCAGTCTAACACCAGTCTAACACCAGTATAACACCAGTCTAACACCAGTCTAACAGCAGTCTAACACCAGTATAACACCAGTCTAACACCAGTCTAACAGCAGTCTAACACCAGTATAACACCAGTCTAACACCAGTCTAACACCAGTCTAACACCAGTCTAACAGCAGTCTAACACCAGTCTAACACCAGTCTGACACCAGTCTAACACCAGTCTAACACCAGTATAACACCAGTCTAACACCAGTCTAACACCAGTCTAACACCAGTCTAACACCAGTCTAACACCAGTCTAACACCAGTATAACACCAGTATAACACCAGTATAACACCAGTCTAACAGCAGTCTAACACCAGTCTAACACCAGTCTGACACCAGTATAACACCAGTCCAACACCAGTATAACAC